GACCAATATTTACATAGATCTTTCACATGGTGCTTTAAGTGTTGGCCATGACAACCACCACTATCGCCATTAATTTTTAGAGCAAAACCTACATTATAAACCCTTTCTTCACACCCATTAAAAAAAAAATTAAATTTTTGAAGTCAAAGAAAAAATCAGCAGATCTAAAAACAAAATTATGAAAACAAATGGAGAAATCATTCACTGATTTCATTAGCAGATCTAAAAATATTTAAACTTGAAGGAGATGACTAATTAATTTGAAACTTGGACCTAGCTCTAAAACTATTTTTGTGTTTCGGAGTTTAATTAATAGAGATGACAAAGTAGGTGTCCAGGGAAAGAAGAAAACGGGTGGGGGTGTGTGGAAAAGAAACCAAATTATTTGGAGATGAAATAACTAAAAATAGAAAAGAAAAAAATAACAAAGGTTGGGGACATGTGGCATTTAGATAATGGTTTAGACTTGAAAGTTTTACATTCACTAGCCTCTTTTTTGTGAAAACACGCGCGCGCCAGCTGCCAAAAGTGGTGTGTCTTATAGCCTGTTTGGCCAAGCTTATTTTTGGCCAAAAGCACTTTTGGCCTCAATTTGAGGTGTTTGGCCAAGCTCCTGGAAGGAAAAAAAGTGATTTTGAGGAGAAGCAGAAGCAGTTTTGGAGAAGGAGAAAAAAGTAGCTTCTCTCCAAAAGCACTTTTTTGAGAAGCACTTTTGAGAAAAAATACACTTAGAAGCAGTTTTTTAAAGTTTGGCCAAACACTAATTGCTGCTCAGAAGTGTTTTTCAAACTAATTAGCCAAACACAAACTGCTTCTCGCCAAAAGTACTTTTGAGAAAAACACTTCTCAAAATAAGCTGATTTTTGCAGCTTGGTCAAACGGGCTATTAGATACACTTTGGAAAGATTGGGTGTGTAAAGTAATATTCGTTCCTAGAAAGTGTGTAACAGAGATTTGGACCATAGGTCAGGTGGCAAGTTATGCGACCGGTGAGAAAACGGACGACTTTAGGGCTTAAAGGAACACCTTTCTGTTTCATATTGAGTCCTCAGAGGTGCGGCCCACTTGGTGTCGGATCAGCTCGACAGGTCACTCAATAGTCTTTCGCGGAGTATCCCCTGTTTTAGTGAACCCTGGGAGTTGTCGGCGGCTCGACGATCTTTATTCCAAAGGTTTACCGAGGTGAAGCTTTTGACAGGTATTCTTTTATTTATTTGTAGGTTTCTCTACTTCAGGCTCTTCCGAGGGCCTTTGTTTGAGGTGAGGTTCTATAGTTTGATGGTTACTTATGTTCTCCTCTACCCTTCCCCGGTAGNAAGTCAATTCGGTGTGGCTTCTTGTATAAGAATAAAATTAACGAAAAATGTCAGTTGATTGGACTTCTCTACATTTTTGTTTATGTGTAATCTTTAAGAATTTGTAAAGTCTCCTTCATATCGTGTTCTCCTCATTGCAAATTCCTCCCTCGTCCTAATAAAAAAACAGAAATATATCGATTAAGTCATCGTAGGCTCCCTTGAAAAAAGTAAAAGTCCCTCTAAATTATGTAGTTGTAAAATTATCACCAACAACCCATTTAATTAGTACGGGACAGCTCATATATGATTTGTGACACTTAAAAGTTTAAATTATAACCTTTTTTTTGTCATTTATTACTTTATTTTTCTTTTCTTATATTTGGTGTATTTATTAACTATCAGATCTTAGTTAATGAGTTGCTTAACCTCTAACCTCATCTTATCTTATCTATCTCTGTTGTTATCAGACGTGGCGTAGGCGGTGGGAATGACACCAGGTAGCCACTCTACGGTTTACTTTTTTAGGACAAAAGTGTCCTGAATTGTTCTGAAGTTATGATTTTTTAATTTAAAATTTTAGGACAAAATAAATACTGGTTAATCTTTAAATAACATCACTGAAAATCGTATCTTTGCACCAACAACTCATTTAACTAAAATAATCTAATCATTAATTAAGATTAAACTCAATCTCATCTCAATTCGGTAGATAATGAGAAAGCAGAAAAAAAGGTACAACAATAACACAGCCCAAAAATTCTAAATTCCTTTATTTCAGTCCACACCACAGACAAACTGTTGATATATTTTCTTATTGTCTACCAAACTACATCTCTATATAAATTTCGACAGCATTAATGAGTGGTGGGAATGTTGACGTGGCAGTTTTGTTAATTACAACATCGTATCTTTCGGAACCATAGCCGGGAGACAATGTGAATATCGTCGTCGTCGACAGATATGCCGGAGACAAAGGTCCATAAAAGAGGTTATCATTGATATAAATGTTGAATTCCCTTTTTTGTGTCCCAATCAATTCTACGACTTCGGCGAAGTGCAAGTATATGTAATACTTGTCTGTGGTATTATCAGCCGGCCAGGAAAACGACACCGTGTCAGTGGCGGTGGTCGGTGTCACTGCCGTGCTCATTACCGCCGATGGTAGTCGGTAACTGTTCTCAAGTATGTCTTGTGTTGTATTAATTGTTGTCATTGCCTCCCATGGAAATGGTAGCCAAATTCGATCATATGCATCATTAGGGAACCTATGTATTTTTAAATAGAAAGCAAACAATTAATTGTTACGAATATATCCACTTGGTACAAAAAGACAAGTATAGTAACTTCCCAAAAAAAAAAAAAAAATCATGG